GACAGACAGACAGACAGACAGACAGACAGACAGACAGACAGACAGATAGATAGATAGATAGACAGATAGATAGATAGATAGATAGATAGATAGATAGATAGATAGATAGATAGATAGATAGATAGATAGATATTTGTTTTACTTTTTTGTGTTTTTTTTCCCCTAGGTTTCTACTTTGGATGGTGTCTTAGAAGTTCGAAATGAACACTTCTGGACATTGGGGTTTGGTTCTCTAGTATGTATTTTTCTCTTAAAATACCTTTTCTTTAGATGCAAATGATTATAAAAGTCTTATTTTTAACAACACAGCTCATTTTATAAAAGTCAATAATTTCTCATGTAATCAGAGATTACAGTATGTATTTTAAGTTATCCAATGTATGCTTACTCTTTCTCAATTAATGGCCTTATATAAACTCAGGGGACTGATGAGGTTCTTCCTTTGCTTTTTAGGCTGGATCAGTACATGTAAGAATTCGAAGAGATGCGAATGAACAAATGGTCCTTGCTCATGTGACCAACCGGTTATATACATTAGTGTCAATTTTGACTGTTCAGATTTTCAAGGATGACTGGATCAGGCCTACCTTAGCCACTGGACCAATTGCAAACAATATGCTGAGTCTTTCAGATCATCACATAATTCCCATGCCACCTCTAAAAGTTGCAGAAAACTCCAGCCCTGCTACATCTACTCCAGCAAAACCAAGCAGTCCACCTCCAGAATTCTCTTTTAATACACCAGGCAAAAATATGAACCCGGTCATTCTTGCAAATACTCAGGCAAGGCCTTCTGGACTAGGCTTTAAGAGTGGAACTACTCCTTATAGTAGTGTCTTTACTCATGGATTAGGAGTGCCAGGAATGGGGACAATGCAGGGATTCAGGACTGGGTTAATCAACACTCCCTACAGATTTGGAACTGGCACGCAAGGTCAGTCCAGACCCTAATAAACTATTTTCCATATTTATTGTGTGATTTCCTCACCACCACCATTTTATTCCTTTTCTACAAGACAGTTAAAATTTCCTAGAAGGCTGGGATAAAATATCTCCAGCGATCGTGGAACCAAGTGTTCATCTTTGATGCGATTTTCATGCTTTAAATGTGAAGCCATTCACTTGTCATTCTTTAACTTTATGAGCAGTAAACTGTTTTTATATATGAGTTGCTTCTTTTATAAATGATTGTAGCATATTGCATGAATGGAGCTCTTGCAAGATTCAAATAATCAAAGAAGTAAGATTCTGTGGCCTGTTTTCTAAGATAAATTTCTCTGTTCTCCTAAGACATTAGTGCCTCTGATATAATCGTACAACCAATTAGGAATCACATTTTTCTTTCTTGGAAAAGTGTCTCAGAAAAATGATCTCTTGAAGATCGAAATGACACCCTTAAAATTCAATTCAACATTAAAGGGTATATATTTATACCAGAGTATTGTTGGATATTCTGTGGTTGTAACTTCTGTTGATTAATGCTTGTTTCTGCATTATGTTTAATGGTGTCCTGGAAAATAAACTGCTTCATAGAACTCTGATTTTAAAAGTATAATTAGAAAAGTGGAAAGGAAGGATATAGGAAGAACTGATGCTTTTGATTAATCCATTAGTATTCTTTGTATTGTGAGCTGTTGTTGTATGTATGGTTTCAAGAATTCTCCCTTCAGTCTTACTAGATAGGTCTATATCTCCATTTGCAAATGGTAGATCCTCGGTCTACTTGATTTATTTCCAGTATGAGAAATATATACTCAGTGGTAAATGAATACATTGTGCTCTGTGCAGGAGGGCAGTAATACCAGAGCCTATGTAGATTCTCCTTCATTCATTATAATATGGTATTTTCCCTTGACCACAAAGATGTATATGCTCTGCCTTTCTATCTAGTTTAAGGAGTCTAGTAGGCAAGTATCTGCTCATAAAGATGTGTGTGCATCACCTGTTGTGTATGCAACTGAACATGTACATTCCTTCCCATTTCTAGTATTCTTGCCCCCCGAAAGCACTTTAAAGGTGAAATGTACTTTGCTGAACCATCTTGTTTTTTCAAACCACTATCAATCTCAACAACTAAATATGGCAGGGAGTAAACTACAATGATAGGATGTGATTATTGTACAATGACAATCCATGAGATACTTGCCTAGCCATTCAGTTATTTGAGATTTGCAACCATAGTGAATGGTGTTCTGCTTTTAAAGAATATAGCCGGGTAATTCCTTTTGAATTAGATAAAAACAATAGAAATTTAACAACCAGAATGACAGCTTCTGTTACAAATGGTAACCAATAACTATAAGGTGCTAATTAGTTTATTTGCTTAGAAAATACTTGTTTTGCTTTGATGGATTACTATCCAATAATGTTAAAAAGGAAGAGAATCTGCACTTTTATTATGTGTCCTTCTTGTCCGTTGATAACCAATGCAACAGTATTTTGCTCTTTATTATTACTTTTATTTAAACCTGTCATGAAGTAGATGAGTTCTATAATCCAAGGACAGGGGCATACATTTCTTCATTCTATAGTTCATTTGGAGTTTCCACTCAAGTAAATAGTAAACCAAACTTCTTTTTACTTTCCTCGTGTACTGTTTTCCTCATTTAGTAGTGACTTTCCTCAAGTAAATAGTAAACCAAACTTCTTCTTTTAACTTTCCTTATGTACTGTTTTCCTCATTTAGTAGTGACTTTTCATCTTTGTATTGATGAAAAAGCCTTTTCCTTTAGCTAAGAGTAAAATAGAATCTGAAAATTTTTACTGGTTCCACCTTCTGATTCATGTTTTGCTTTAGGTATGGGAAATATTACCCTACTAACCATAACACACTTATAATGACAGCAATAATAAAACCAGTTTTCATTGGAGTTTAGTGGGATTTGTAACTCTTTGCAACTGAAAGTGTTTAAATTAACTGGTAGTGGGAGAGCTGTAGCTCAATGGCAGAGCCCACGCTTTCTATGCCGAATGTCTCAGTTTAATTTCTGATATCTTGAAAGACTATCTGAAACTCTCAGGAACTGCTATCAGTTAGTATACACCATATTGAGCTAGATGGACAAGCGGTCTCAGTTAGTATAATGTACAGTAGCTGTATATGTTCCTCCTATCATTGCTTGATCTAAAGCAACCTTGTACAGTATTGTCGCACAACAGCCAACTCCATCAATGTTAACTTCATACTGTAGATAGTTTGTATAACAGCTGTCATAAAACACATACCTATTAGATACTTGACAGTTGAAGCATTCACCTGAAAAAAATATTCTTGACCTTAGGATAAATCAGGTGAAGGTTATTTGATGAAGTCCTATCCCTAGCATGTAAACTATAAAGTCCAATGTGAAAAGCATCTAGAAGTATGTAATTCTGTGTTTGTAGTGGACAATTTAGGGCCCTCCAAATGTTGGAGTCCATCAGCCTTGTCTAGTAAAGCTAATGTTGAAGGATGGTAGAAGTTGCAGTTCAGGTACATCTGAACTGTGGCTCAATCCTCTAGCTGTAATAGTCCAACCCTTGTTCTAGCTGCTGTATCTAAAGCAAGCTTCTAAAATCTTACCATCAGCAAATGTGGATGAAAACAGGTGTATATGCAGTACTTATTTTTAAAAATTGTGTATACAGTCTGAACATTTTTACATTCAAAAGTTAGGATGAATGCATATGTTCACTGGCATTCAGTTTATGCTATCACCTATATGTAATCCACCTTCAAGCTTAAATTCCACCATTTAATAATTGCCTAAGGAGAGGACACCACCATAGATAGCTAAGATGACGTGATTGTAGGGCCACACAATCATTTAAACTATGAATGTTGTTTAATCTGAGCTTATCATTGTCTCACTTTGTTCATATGTATAATTTAGGCAGTGAGAGTTTATTTAGATTAGCATCTGCAGCTATGTGCAAACTATGGCACAAACAGTGGAAATGTATATTGGACCTCCAAACTGAAAAATAGTTTGTAAGAGTCAGCTATACAGCAGAATGGTGCAAGAAATGAACAGCTAGGGTTTTTGTGTAACACCTATTCTCTATGTTCATATCCTAAGTGACTGGTGAATTTCTAAACTAAAGGTGCTCAGAATTATTAACCTTCAATTTTTAGAAACAAATGCTTTCCTGGTGGTTTGTTATATTGCTGTAGCCAAATTGCAAGATATTGAATTTGACTGTGTTGATGGAACTAAGAAGACTGCCTGTCTAAGGCAACAGTAGTTTCTTCAGAAATGACGACGATGTACTATATAAGTTTTGCATAACTTTTCTTCTCTCACTAAAACATACCTTTGTATACATGGATTTTATTTTCATCTGTTTTACTGGCATAATTAGCTTTAGAATCTCTTCATGGTGGATGTGGGCATATTGGAAGAAATCAATTTTAAACTTTCTATATAATTTTTTTTAATTACTTATCATTCACATGTTATAAACAGCAACATAGTCTATAACAGTTGCAGGGCAAATAATTTGCATGCATAGGATCCAAAGTTCAATTCCTGGCATATCCAGGAAGAGTAAAGAACAAATCCTGCCTGAAATGTTGGAGAACAGCTGCCAGTCAATGTTGACAGAGTTGCCTAGATTAACTGATTCGGTATAGGGCGGCTTCCTATGTTCCTGATTATTTCTATAGCATCTAAAAACATATTTGAAGTATCCCAAAGATGACCTAATTTTAGAACAGTGCAGCAAATGAATAAGTACCATGAGTGTGTTATCACAGGTTGAGATATTCAAGCACAAACACTTGCAGAATTTTGTTGAGGTTGTCAACAGTGGGCTTGTCAAGGTTTTCTTCTGTGTCCTCCATAGTGTGCCATACTCTTGGGAAAGGAGATGGTATCAAGTGTAGGACTGGAACGCCTGACAGGAAAAGAGGAGGAAGAATGTAGAGGTGATCAGACTGCTGGACCTTACTGTATTTCTAGATAGTACTGCGTGTTACATAAATGAAAATTACTGCAGTTTTACATTTTAGGCCCATACCATTCCTCTTAATAAATATTAGATCTGAAGTTGTCCCAAAATTCCCTGCTTTAGGAGCTATTCCCATGAGGAAATTAAATTAGCAATTATTACTAATGAAGGAAGGGGAAAGAATTAAATATTTTAAGCAAGTGCTTCTGAAACGTTCTGGAGTGGTATTTGCCTCTAAACTTTTTTGCCAGTATCCTGCTCAAGTATCTGTGCATGTGATTCTAAACACAGAAATAGCTGCAGTGATGTAGAGATGTCCAGTCATCTGACTGGTTTTGTAGCTACTGTATTTGTGTAACGCAAGCAGGCAAGCAACGAATTTTCTACACCATTGCAGCCATTTCCATGTGTGTGGTTACACCTGCAGAAAATGGAACAGGATTAAACACAGAACCAATCTAGAATTAATGGTTTTGTCATCACTCATTTATAAAGGAGGGGAGGGGGTGGCAGTAACAAGACCATGTAGAATAGGATAACAAAATCTAGATTTTATATTGATCCTTTGTGGCACTTCTGATCTTTTCTACAAACTGAGCTCAAGGTAAAGCAACAGGCCCCTCTCTTTCCAAGCTTTATGGTCTTTTCCAGAAAATCTTGCCTTCTCATGATGTGCCCAAAGCAGGACAGGCTTAGTTTCATCATTTTTGCCTCTGGAGATAATTCAGGCTTGATCTGCGAAGATTCTTAGTCATCCAGGTGTGATTCAAGTCATGGCAACTGGACTTCTTCCTTATTAGCTTGAAATATTTTGCTACTCATCCAAGTAGCTTCTTCAGTCTGAGGAGAATTGGCAGGAGATCCCCGATATATCCTCCACTAGTGTGAATAGGCTCATTAGATGGACAAAGGGTGGGTTGAGTAAAAATCACCTCTGGAGTCCTTCTCCACCCATTGTCATGGGTCATTAACAGTAGTTAACAGTGGTCTTTGGTGTTTCTGGGGATGGATGAAAGTGTAGCATGATAAATGGCAGACCAGAAGGATTAGGGACACACACAAGAAAGATCACTGTTAACAACTGTCAATGACAATGGGTGGAGGACTGCAGAAGTGGGATTCTCCCTCGCCCTATGGACCTTTGTCCATCTAACAGGCCTATTCAGACCAGGGAGAAGTGAAACCAATGTGGAGGATGTATCAGGGATCTCCTACCAACTCTCCTCAGACTGAAGAAGCTACTTAGATGAGTAATGACACATTTCAACCTAATAAAGAAGTCCAGTTGCAATGACTCAACTTCCAGATAAACCTCACCTAGATAACTGAGAATCTTCACAGATACAAATGATAGTTCTCCAGGTATTAATTTGTGAGGCACAACAATCTCAAAGAAATGTCTGTGTAAGTGCAGACACCTGGATTATCATTAATGCTAGGATGAAACTTGGTTGTAACAACAACAGTGACTCATTCACCTAGGTCACTGGTTCTTAACCTTTGTTACTCAGATGTTTTTGATCAGCCAAGTTATCCTCAAGCACCATATTTCAAATGAATCATTTTGTTTCCTGTCAGCTTTCTTTACTGTCCATCTTTCACCCCATACATGGTGAAGATTATCTTGGTATTACGGTAGTCTCCAGTGACACATCTTTATACTTGACATACATGGTGACTGGGAGTAGAAGATTATCTTGGTATTAGTCTCCAGTGACACATCTTTATACTTGATAATCTTTTCTAGTTCCTTCATTGCTTGCTTTCCTATTTTTATTCTTCTGATTTCTTGCCTGCAGTCTCCCTTTGGATTGACAGTAAACAAAATCTTTCACTCTTTCAATTTCTTCATGGTCAGTGCTAAAATTGTATAGTTCTTCTGTAGTCATGATTTTTGTCTTCATAATGTTCAAGCACAGTATTCTTTCACTATTACTAAAATTTGTTTCAAGGCATTGCTGCTTTCTACCAGTAAGATGGTGTCATCTGCTTATTTTAAATTATTGATGTTTCTTCCACCAATTTTCACACTTCCTCCATCTGAATTTAATCTGCTTTTCTGTATGATGTGTTCTACATACAGATTGAACAGATGAAGGGATAAAATACACCCTTGTCTGACATCTTTGCCTAAAGATGATCCACACAGTCAAAGGCTTTGCTGTAGTCTATAAAGCATAGACTGATCTTCTGAAATTCTTTGGTATGCTCAGGTAGCCAGCAGATATTTTCAATGTGATCTTGAATGCCACCTCTTTTTCAGAATCCAGCTTAAACATCAGGTAAAAACCTGTGTTGCAACACCTTGAGCATTATTTTGTTTGCATGGAAAATTAGAGCAATGCACTACAGTTACTGCACTTCTTGGCATCTCCTTTCTTGGGGATTGGAACATTGCCAGTCTATGGGCCGTAGTTGTGTTTTCCCTATTTCTTAGCCTATTCTGGTTAATATGTTGACAGATTCAGTCTCCGAGGCTTGAAATAGTTCAATCAGTCTTCTATCCTAGTGCTTTCAGAGCAACTTTCACTTCACTTTCTAGAACTGCAGGTTCTTAATAATAGGATTTCTCTTCAAAAGAGTTGGTCACTTTATCTTTTGGTGTATATCTATTTAGTATATTGTTTCCACCTTTTTATTTTCTCCTGGTCGGATGATGTACAGTACTTCCCTGTTTGTCATTCAGTATTCCTAGTCCAGGGTTTAATTTCTCTTTGATTTCTTGGACTATCTGGAAGAGATAGCTTGCTTTTTCCTTTTTGTTGTTCTCTGTTTCTTTGCACCGGTTATTATTGTGGGCCTAGGGCTGAGCAGGCCCAGGCAATCCCACTTGATACCATAAAACACAGTTCTGGAATAAAAGGACACAACTTCATTGGTTTCAGCAGCAGACTCCTGGCCTGAATGCCTCTTGGTGCCACCCTCTAGCAATCTGCTGGGGGTAATCTGCTTGGGGTGACAGCCGTGGATTACATGCAGGCATATACTACTTGGTACAGTGGGGAGCATATGGCCCCCAAGCTAGTTCAGAGTCTACCCTGTCCCCAGCTCCCTTTAAGGGGATCCCTTACTTTCAGGGGTTGCAGACCTTGTCTAGAGCCAATTAACACCACCGAGATCCATCCCAGTACCGCAGCCCACCGAAGAAAGTTGTGCCAAAATTGTGCAATTAGCAATACCATGAATAAAACTTTTCTCACCCATGCCACCAACACCAATGTAAGTTCTCACAGCTAAACACAATACCAAATTGGGGAGGGGGAGGGGAAGCCACCAAGTTGCAGAATGGGCTGCTTTAAACGAGGGTGGGCCAGAGTGAAACGTCATAACTCTGGCCGATATGCCAAGGCCCCCTTTATTTCAAAATTTTGCCAGGGGCCAATGGGAGGCAACCGCATCACTGCATCCTCCCATTGGCTGATGCACCCAGCCACCTGTGACTCCGGGGCCATTTTACGGAGCCCTGGTGTTGCCCAGGCTGCTGCTCCAGCAACAATGAGGAGGCCCAATAAGTTGGGGGGTGGTTTTTAATAGTTTTTGTCCCTACGTGACAGTTGCTGAAAAGCTGCATTCAGGGTTCTGATCCTATTTCTGTTACCTTTTACTTTTGCTTCTTGTCTGCCTTTAACAATTTTAAGTGTTTCTTCTGTCATCCATCTAGGTTCTTGTTACTACAAGAATTGTATTTTGGCATACTTCCTTAATAATATCTCTAGTTTCAACCCACTGTTCTTCTGGTTCATGGTAAATTGAGTTTCGTAATGCAAATTTGTATATAGTGCCACAGTAGTTAAACTGCAGTACTTCAGTGAAGAGTCTGCTCATGAACTGAGTTCGATCCCAGTTGAGTCAACCTTCCATCCTTCTGATGTCAGTAAATTGAGTATCCAGCTTGCTGGGTTGGCAATTTGTAGCCTGCATAATTAAATTACACCCACCCCCCCGAGAGAGATCTAAGCGCTATGGGGCAGTATATAAGTACCACACATTTTAGATATAAAATTGTACACAGCACTCTAATGTTCTGGAAGTTGTCAGAGAGGCATCACATGCTAGAAAGATTGAGCAATATTTAATATTGTAATTCTTTAAACAGGCATAGATGAAAGTAATTATTCTGTTGGCTGTTAATAGGTACCAGAAAGACATTAAATAATGCATCTACTAATTTTACTGTTATTTTCTCCACTACCCTTCTTACGAAAATTGATGCCGCTTCAGAGCAGAAAGGCTGTAGATTCTCCAAAGACAACCTGTTAAATCCCATCTTCCCATTAATTTCTTACAAATATGTTGCCACTATACCTGATGGTCATGTGAAACGACCCTAAATAAGTAACTTGATTCGCATACAGCCTGTGATACTTGAAATGTTGCCCTCTGATTTCTTTGTGAGCATTCATATGGACTAAATTATCACCTTCCAAGTCCACACATTGCTCAGTTGCTACTAGTAATGTGCGTCCTTGTGTACCAGGTAGCAGCAGCATTAAAAAAGATTTTCATACCTCTTCTTAAAAATGGAACATGGTCATCCTCAACTGGATGTCTTCGTAGATCACTCCGGAAGTACCGCCTTTCAGCAGGGTAATTCTTTAACAAACCCAAATCATGAAGACTTTGTTCTGCAGTTTCAAAAACAGCAATATTTAGGCAGTGATTGACAACAGAATTTTAAAAAAAATCAGTCTGGTTAAAGCAACAGTTTGGGGCATAAATTGGTTCCCCTGTCATCTCACACAATGGAGTGGTCTCTTGAATGCATTTCCATTTGCTCTGATTGCTGTGATTACATCCCAGAAAATGATACCAAATTGATTTCAAGTTGGAAATATTATCAAATGATAAATCCATTTAGCTGCTGCTTAGCATTCTACTGTTTTGTTTATATTTACATAGCTCTTTATTTTAAAGAGCCTGGTGTGCTTTAGTTGGAAGTGAAAAAGGAAATGCACACAACCACTTACATTTTTATATGTGAATAGAGTAGTCAGAAAGGAATTTATTATTAAGATTTTTCACACACACATGCCCCCCCAAGAAAAAACAAGAGGGGAAAGGAGCATACCCAAAGTTCATATATAAAATGCAGCAAACTTTTAATTTCTAGGAATAACTCCACCACACAACTGACAGTAGAGTTTCTACTCTGTGCAATTGATAATTTTTTAAAAGATGGGTTTTGTCTGATTTGTTCTTACCAATTGCTTCAAGTCTTGCAAACCATCGAGCTGTATTTAGAAAGTAAATGGGAAAGATTGGGTTCCGAGCACCAATTAAATCCAGTAATACAAAAAGATCCTGTGAGAAATTGTAGAGAAATATGCTTGTTAGAGATGTCACTCTCGGGGGCCTTGTAGATACAAAGCAATGCCTGTCTGAAACCAGCGAGTCCCAGACACATTTTCTGACTCTGATCAGTTGATCAAACACTGGTAAGTGGTAATTACAGCCTGCAATCCTATAACAAAATTACCTGTAATACAGCTTAAATGACTGCCAACATCCAGTCATGTATCTTCTGTATGTTTTGAGATAGTTACAGAATTCATCTGGGCTTGTAATTAATCACATATGAATCATAATCACCAAACTTCAGACTTTGGTGGAAAACAGAAATATGAAAGGGTTGATAAAAGCATTGGTTTTCAAATCTGCTACCTTAATCAGTAACTTAAGACCACTCTACATCTTCTGTTCTCACTTACAATGCCCTGAATCTGAGTGGTACTAGTGGCACCCGGTGGGTGCAGAGTAGCTGCCATTTTCTGGGCCAAGGACCGAGAGCCATACAGAGAATCAGAGGGAGACCATCGAACAAATGCTTCTTCACCATCAAAGAAAATCAGACGCAGGGAGAGTTCTGGACTGGTACCCATAGTGGTTTCCTGAGGAAGGAACAAGATGGAACGTTAGTCCCCATGCTCAGAGATGGGAAAAGTTTTTAAAAAAATTGCTACAACTTCAAGAATATTCCAGCCAGATTGGTTGGGATATACTGGGAACTGAAGTACAAAAAAAGTAACTTTGCCCACATCTGCTCATGCACATTGAATACAGAAACAACAATTGAAAAGAAAACAAGTACCTTTAGAGAGTGAAGCTGTCTGTCCAGGGCACGTGCCAGTTCTAGCATCATAGCACAAGGCACAGCTGAGTCAGTGGCACCAACAAAGACTTCGCCATCAAATTGTGGTGGAAAGTACTTAGAATCATAATGGCAAGCAAGCACCAAATGACGCTTGGCCAGAGGATTGAGGGTGCCGATTATATTTGAAAACGTGCGGTATCCATAAAGAGTGTGGCTCTGAAAGGCATCTTCTTCAACAACCCAGCCAGCTTCTAATCCTTGCAAACGGTGCTTGATATGCTGAAATGTATACAGCCAGAGGTCAAAGGAGACTACTGCTGTTCATATGCAAGAAACCCATGCAAATCAACATTGTAGGAACTGGACAAATGCCTGGAAAAGCTCACTATGCTATTCTGCAGCCTAAATAAAGCAGCAATAGCCATCTATTATAGCTGTCAGATTCCTATGGCACCTTTCAGAAACCAACCAAGAATCTAAAAGCAAAGCAGACATCATAGTTTTAAAAGACACTTTTTGCAGTGTTTCAAAATTAGCCTGTTGTTACCTATTGCAGTAATGGAAAAGTAAGCTGTTAGCATTATTATTTCAACTGCTCATCATGTTTTTCCTACTTTCAGATTCTTTTTAAAAAAGAAAACTTAAGATGGATAGGAAAATAGCATAAAACCCTACAAATCCCTGTCAAAATGACAAAAAATGCCTTAAAATACCTTTAGAAAGTAACTTAAAATGTTACTTGTCACTATTACAATTGTTAAAATACAATGGTCAAAACCCCTTCATAGATTGCTGCCTTGTCGTGGCGAAGGGGCTTGAGTAATTCAGAGAAGCTATGGGCTATACCATGCAGGAACACCCAAATGGACTGGTCATAGTGGAGAGTTCCGACTAAATGCAATCCCCCTGGAGCAGGAGTTGTCAAGCCACTCCAGTATCTTTGCCAAGAAAACTCCATGAACAGAAACAAAAGGCTAAAAGATATGATGCTGGAAGGTGAGCTCCTCAGGTCAGAAGGCGTCCAACAAGCTACTGAGGAAGAGCGGAGGACAAGTATAAGTAGCTCCAGAGCTAATGAAGTGGTTGGGCCAAAGCTGAAAGGACGTTCAGCTGCAAATGCGCCTGGAAGTGAAAGGAAAATCCAATGCTGCAAAGAAAAATATTGCACAGGAACCTGGAATGTAAGATCTATGAATCTTGGTAAGCTGGATGTGGTCAAACAGGAGATGGCAAGAATAAACATTGACATCCTGGGCATCAGTGTGAATTAAAATGGACAGGAATGGGCGAAATCAATTCAAATGATTATGATGTCTACTATGGTGGGCAAGAATCATGTAGAAGGAATAGGTTGGCCCTCATAGTCAACAAAAGAGTGGGAAAAGCTGTAATGGGATACATTTTCAAAAATGATAGAATAATTTCAATATGAATCCAAGGCAGACCTTCCAGCATCACAGTAATCCAAGTTTATACACAAACCACCAGTGCTGAAGAGGCTGAAATTGACCTATGAAGACTTACAACACCTTCTAGAACTGACACCAAAGAAAGACTTTCTTCTAATTATAGGGGACTGGAATATTAAAGTAGGGAGTCAAGTGATAAAAGGAACAACAGGCAAGTTTGGCCTTGGAGTTCGAAACAAAGCTGGGCAAAGGCTCTATACAGTCAGCAAAAATAAGACCTGGAGCTGATTATAGCAAAATTCAAGCTTAAACTGAAGAGAGTAGAAAAAGCCACTGGGCAGGACTGGATGAATCCCAAGCTGGAATTAAGATTGCGGAAGAAATATCAACAACCTCTGATATGCAGATGATACTACTCTGATGGCAGAAAGTGAGGAGGAATTAAAGAACCTCTTAATGAGGGTGAAAGAGGAGAATGCCAAAAACGGTCTGAAGCTCAACAAGAAAACTAAGATCATGGCCACTGGTCCCATCACCTCCTGGCAAATAGAAGGGGATGATATGGAGGCAGTGACAGATTTACTTTCTTGGGCTCCATGATCATTGCAGATGGTGACAGCAGCCATGAAATTCAAAGACACCTGCTTTTGGGGAGGAAAGTGATGACAAACCTAGAAAGCATCTTAAAAAGCAGAGACATCACCTTGCCGACAAAGGTCCGCATAGTCAAAGCTATGGTTTTTCCAGTAGCGATGTACAGAAGTGAGAGCTGGACCATAAAGAAGGCTGACTGCTGAAGAATTGATGCCTTTGAATTGTGGTGCTGGAGGAGACTCTTGGGAGTCCACTGGACTGCAAAGAGAACAAACCTATCCATTTTGAAGGAAATCAACCAAGGACAGATCCTGAAGCTGAGGCTCCAATACTTTGGCCATCTCATGAGAAGAGAAGACTCCCTGGAAAAGACCCTGATGTTGGGAAAGTGTGAAGGGAGAGAAGGGGACAACAGAGGGCAAGATGGCTGGACAGTGTCTGCGAAGCAACCGACATGAATTTGACCCAACTCCGTGAGGCAGTGGATGACAGGAGGGCTTTGTACACTCTGGTCCATGGGGTCATGAAGAGTTGGACGCAACTTAATGACTAAACAACAAAACAACAACAAAATTGTCAAAATTCTGTTCTACAGTGTAAATTTCAGTAGAGTACGACTACTGAATAAATGAATTTGGTAAGTCAACTCCTCCATAAATTCCACTGATTCAAATTAGTCAATTTTAACTGTGACTTTCTTCAACATACTGTAAATTGCAATTAAAATAGGCCCATTTCAATCCATGGAATTTGTGGAGGAGCTGACTTACTAATTGTCAAAATTCTGTTCTACAGTGTAAATTTCAGTAGAGTACGACTACTGAATAAATGAATTTGGTAAGTCAACTCCTCCATAAATTCCACTGATTCAAATTAGTCAATTTTAACTGTGACTTTCTTCAACATACTGTAAATTGCAATTAAAATAGGCCCATTTCAATCCATGGAATTTGTGGAGGAGCTGACTTACTAAATCCTCACTGATCTAGTGGGCCTACTCTAGTGAGATTTACTATGCTAAGCAGTAGGATTTTGGCCAACACTTTTAAAAAGCCAGTCTAAGTTGCTCCTTTGCACTAAACCCAGAGCAAGTGGATAGTTCAGGATCAGGTGTGATTCCAAAGGGACTGCATTCCTATATTTGGAAGTGACACAGGGTAATTTTTTTCTTGCAGGTCCAACAAGTGGGTTTCTGCAAATGCGGTCGCCTTCAAAAGAGTGACATGTATTGCTTTGCTGCCAGCACTACATTTTGTCATAGGGACACAGTAATTGTGCTGCCTGCCTGATGATGAAGTGCAGGCTCTTTTGCTTAATGCGCTACAACTTTAAAAGGAGGAAGACCCTAGACCGAGGGAGTACGCTCATAAATCCTTCTACTAAGCTGGTAGTTCGGTTATCAACTAATCAATGTTTATTTCTTTGATATTAAATGATGATGAAGAAGATGTTACTGTCTTATCAGGAACGGCTCTCTCGCAATGGTGCTGCACAGACATGTAGTGCCACCTCAGAGGTCCCACTCTTCCCACTCACTGTGGGAAGTTGGAATGGGGTGAATCAGACAGCGTGTGGCCCAGACAAAAGATTAAAGCAAGCCTTAAACAAGGGTGCATGTGCATGGGTTCATTGACAGCATTTTCTCACACCTCCTTCGTGTTCTTAATTGCAAAACAACAAAAGAGTTAAAGGAGGAGTGTGAGGAAGTGGAGCTTTTTGCTGTCTGCAAATCTAGTCAGAATGAAGTTAAAGATTATGTATGAAGGCAACCAGCTTCTTTACTTCAGCTGCTGTTACTTAATGACACTTAATTGCACTCTGCTCAGGGTATACATTTAGATGTTTCCTTGGCAATGTGTCTCATCTGCTTTAAAAATGAATCCCTGCAGCATATTTTAATGTTATACGGTTCAAGGTCTAACAAGGCCTTTGGTGCCTTATATAACATGTTGCTACTTGCCCATGAGAAAAACACTGTACAAATTAAATTTGATGTGTCTAAAGGCTAGCTGTTTCGTCAGACAAAGAATACAAATGATCTCTCCCATGAAATCAGCCCAATGTAATCAATATACAGTAGTGCTTAGGAAAATGAAAATCAGACATAATTAAATGTAACATCACTGTCAACCAAGAGAGGTCTGCCAGTCTGACACCATGGCCTTCTATTTGTTTACTGATAATGAAGGACTCAACAACATCATAGTAAATTCAAGGTCTAGAGAAGGTGGATTTCATGTAAAACCATCTCTCAAACTAAGCAGGTCAAGGCCTAAATAGTTTTCAAACAGGAAGTCTCCCTGAGCAGCTCTGGCATAACCAATATACACCAAAGCAAAAGCAGAAAACTGAATGTACTGGATAATCTGTTTGGGATGGAAAGAGGTGTCAGAGACATACAGTATACACACAAATTAACAGTTCTGTCCAAGCCATACTGTCAGGACCAATCAACTCTCATAGAAAATCTCATATGCAAATGACGTTTGGTAAGTTTTTAATACTGTTTGAAATTGACAACGAACAGCTCTATATTCTTTCTAAGAATAAGTTTTACTTATTTTTCTTCTCCCACAGAAGTAAAGATTATTGCCTGAACATAGCCATTGTTTGCTGCACAAGAGATGCATGTTACTGTTACACTCTTTGTATAGGCTCTCTGCCAATAAACCTCCTAGGAAACCGAATGAGGTGCAACCAATGTTCTTTGAAATAGATTATCTCTTCTCTGTTCTACCTTATTAATCACAAATTGTAGTTGCACTTTAGCTGCACTAAGAGAGTGCATCATTGCTCCCTGGCCCTTCCAGACTATCAGGCTTCAGTGTGATCAGTGCTCAAATGTTCCATAGTTTGGGATATATTTTTAAACTGAGGATTACAATTCTTCTTCCAGCTAGCACATTTATCACTAGTGACTATTGTTTGTGATGTGATGAGCGTACCATTCCTGCTTCTAGTTCATACTCTTTAGTATCTAATTAAAACAACAATAACAACTTGGATCTGTGGCAATAAATCAGTTCTAGCAGTTTTCCTCTCTAACAAGGGTGGGCCTTTTGTAAAACTAACTAATTCAAATTTTTCATTGAAGACCAAAGTACTCCAAAATACTTTGGAGTACAACAGAGATCATGCACAACAGTACATTATTGCTAAAATGTCCCAGCCTGCCTCCTAAGCTACAATGAGGATGGGAGGGGGGAAAAGAATGCTTGAGGAGGATGGCAGATGACAATTATTCAAAAAATAAATAAATCCCAGAACTCCAACAGTGGAAGCTCTTGCTATGCTACAGTTCTTGAGTATTTGTGCAGAACTGGCTTTTTGGAGTTTTCTTAAAGGGGAAGACAGGAGTACGATTTCACCTCTACAGCAAGACCACTCTCTTCTAGCCCATGACACTGGGATATGATAATATATTACTGGCACAGTATCTGAGGCAGGGTAACTACAGAGTTCGGATATTTATTTGTGGTCAGTAAGATGGGCTCTTAGTGGATCAGTTAACTGAAGAACCTCATACTACTATGAACAAAGAGGAAGTTCTACCTGATCCTCATATACAACACTTTGTTTTATTACATGCAGCCTTTTGCCAAGGATTAGTCTATACCAATGCAGCTCAATGTGGGAGACAGGTGTTGATCAGAAACTGGAAAAGAGGCAGGAGGAATCGATTCATTGGAGATACCAGCACAGGATGTATTTTTAACCTGTTCAGTCTCACCTGACGCACAGCGTAACTCCCAGGAGATCCTGGGTATCTCTCAAACAGTATTGGGTGCAGGTCATTTTGCCACATTCGATTGACATCGGTCTGCATTGTAACTTGTTGAAGGCTTGTTGCATTTAGAATTGTAGGGCGGTGGGAATACTGTGGAAGAAATCAAAGGCAAGATTTTGAGAATGGGCTTTAATAATATAATAAGTTTGGCCATTAAACTTTGTACTGACAATAGTGAGTATATTCATCCCTTTAAAAACACTTACTCCCTACTTTCCATTAAAGCAGGCATTGAAAGGGACTAGTATATATAATTGCAGATAATATAATATCATTATATATTACATTGATAAAATTGAAGTGTGCATGTACATGAAAGTCTTGAATGTTATTGGATGTACAAGTAAATAATGGAATATGTATAAAGGACTTTGTGGTGGGAGGATGAGGATATCCTGGGGCTCTGATTGTTCTACATATCATTACTATATTCCAGTCCATGGAGAAGTATGTGAGCCATTTTGTGTCATCCTTATGAATAAGGGTTAAAGGGCTTAAGAGATTTAAGTGGCTTAGGGAAAGGCAGGGATGTGTAGAGAAGACCTGTTCTCAAAATATAAAGTCTGATTATGGCTTCTACATGTATTTGGGGGCATGCACTCAAAAACTGTCTTCAGATATTTCTGTGGAATGTAAAAAGGTCTAAATAGTTGCCTGTGGGTGAGAGAATACATCCCCCCAGTAGTCTTAGATTTCACATGCATCAAGTTTTAAGACTCTCGATCTGGTAGAGTATTTCCCAGTATTTTCTTTATGGAAGTTACAGTGGAGTCTTGACTTGAGAACTTAATCCGTATTGGAAGGCGATTCTCAAGTCAAAAAGTCTGTAAGTTAAGTCTCCATTGACCTACAGTGCATTGAAAACCGATTAATCCTGTAACAGGCCGTTTTTGTTCCATTTTGTTTTTTTTCTGGTCTGTAAGTCAAATCTCAGTCTGCAAGTCAAACCTAAATTTTGCGGCCAGAGAAGTCTGTAACTCAAAAAGTCTGTAAGTCAAGCCATCTGTAAGTCAAGGGTCCACTGTATTACTACAAGAGACCAGAGTCTGTCTCTGTTCCTCATGCACACATTTTAAATATACATATCTGTACATAAACTAAGAAGGATAAATTTCATTGTTAGTTCTAAGTAGACTTGACCTACTATTTACCCCCAACATCATCTGCTGTTTTGGGTGTACATTTCATGTGATCTAATAGTAAGATTATTGCTGCTACAGTGGTTTTGGTCATATGTGGATTTCCAAACAGAGACAGTCATTGTTCTTGACGGAGGTAATTCAGCATTTCACAATTCCCCAACTTCCAGGAAGTGTAACAGACATTAGCAAAGGATGAGTAGAGGAAGCCTGTGAAAACAGATCAGTTTCCTCCTTCTGGTTGGCTTTGCCTCTGTATAGGGTCTACATATTCAGCATTATAGAAGACAGTTCTGTACTTGACGGGCTGTCAGAAGATAATCCTTTATTTGAGAGCATTCTCTCTTTGAAGGGTAATCTAGCCTAGAGAATTAAAAAGTTGCTAGTTCAAACAACTCTTGAGAATCTCCCGGGCAGTGATTATGCTGAGATTCTGGGAACTGTGGCCTAAACAAGTAACTTTTTCAAGCTCTTGCCCTGTCCAAGTTTAACTGAATGATGAAGAACCATAAAGAGAGCAAGGTCCTTGAAACTGTCTATGAACTGTTAGCATTTAAGGTACAGTGTAAACCATCATGGTCTTCCTCTCTATAATGAAATGTATTTCTGCTTAAATCATTGAATTGGATCCAGTCTCAGTTTGGAAAATTCAGATTCCACTGAAACAACTGGGCTAAAGTTTAACCTGTAGTGCGATTCTGTATATGTCTGTCCATAAGTACTTTCCACTAGGTTCACAACCAATTTTAATTCTTACTTGAGATCCAATATATAGCAAATATTTCTAATTGTGTGTCTTTACATATTTATTTGGAATATATAATGCGAAAGACAGGACTGGATGAATCCCAAGCTGGAATTAAGATTGTCAGAAGAAATATCAACGTCAGTGCTGTCCTCTGAAGATGCTGGCCACAGAGACTGGCGAAACGTTAGGAAGAACAACCTTCAGAACACGGCCAAAGAGCCCGAAAAACCCACAAAAACCAACCTCAGATATGCAGATGATACCACTCTGATGGCAGAAAGTGAGGAGGAATTAAAGAACCTCTTAATGAGGGTGAAAAAGGAGAGTGCAAAAACCAGTCTGAAGCTCAACATCAAAAAAACTGAAATCATGGCCACTGGTCCAATCACCTCCTTACAAACAGAAGGGGAAGATGTGGAGGCAGTGACAGATTTTTCTTTCTTGGGCTCCATGATCACTGCAGATGTTGACAGTAGCCACAAAATTAAAAGACTCCTGCTTCTTGGGAGGAAAGTGATGACAAACCTTGACAGCATCTTAAAAAGCAGAGACATCACCTTGCCGACAAAAGGCCACATTGTTAAAACTATGGTTTTTCCTGTAGTGATATATGGAAGTGAGAGCTGGACCATAAAGAAGGCTGAATGCTGAAGAACTGGTGCTTTTGAATTGTGGTGCTAGAGGAGACTCTTGAGAATCCCCTGGAC